GTTATTTTCATTTTTGTGTGTGTGTGTGTGTGTGTGTGTGTATGTGTGTGTGTGTGTATGTGTGTGTGTGTGTGTGTGTGTGTGTGTGTGTATGTGAGTGGCTGTCTGCCTGTCTGTCAGTGTGTGTTCCATCTGAACCTAATATAAAGTTCAAGTCTTTGAACCTAAGCCAAATCATCTCATTGTAACGTGACGAATCACTTTTAACCTAGTTCATTTTCATATCGCAATCTTACTCGTATCATCCCAATTCCTTTCTTGTCAGCCCAATCATTCTGATCTCATTTGGACTATTTTAATTTGTTTAACCTTATTCCAAGTTAGCCTAAATCCTCGTATCCTATCTCTCCTCATCTTAGGTCATTTTATTGTACCCCATCTTAACTTAATGCATCCCATTTCGCCGTTAATTTAAAAATCTCATTCCAACGTAATCACTCACCTGCCCCTCGTCGAATTGCTCACGTCTGCGTAACTTATCTGATACTACTTAACATAATTCGTCTCCTTTTAACAAATCACTTCAACTTCAGCTTCTTTTCATTTATTAATCTATTTTTCATCTCATATCATTTTATCTTTACCTAACTCATTTCAACTCACAGCTCATGTCATCGTAACCTGTCCACCAATGTCCTCTCATTTATTCATTGGCTTTTGTTTGTTTCTTGACCCACTCCTTAGCCCATTTTAACTTTACTCAGCTCTTCATAACCTTAATTATTATAGCATTGCACATTTCTCTTAAATATATCTGGATAAATCGTTGTTTAACTCTCTTGACATTGATCTAATGCATCTCATCTCATCTAAACATAACGTCTCCCCTCTCAGCTGATCTCGCCTCGTCATTCTTAAGGCCACACATGGGTTTTTGGGGTCCAATTTGGGTCCAGACAATGGTTTTAGGGTTGTAAGAAACTCCCCATGAAAATTATGTGCTAAATCGAATGGAAGTACTCCCAACGGTCTATTTCAAACAGATAGCTCCACAAAGTTTTGTTTTTTTTAAGTGAGTCAATACAATGCTTTTAAAGCAATATTGAGATGTTTTTGCTCCTTTCCTCAAAATGTTCATTTCTTGGCTTTAAATACTAAAAACTCAAAAACGGTTCAAGTTAAAGACATGAAATTTGAAGGATATGTGCACCATACAATTCCAAAGAAAATGACATTAGCTTTGTGTAATTAAAAAATAAATTCTAATGAGTTTTGGGTTTTTTACTTTGCTATTTTGACTAATTTTATCATTCGTTATTATGCTAGCCTTCTGAAAGTAATAAAATTACCAATATTTATAATTTCATGAAAAGCTAGCATCATTTTTTTAAAATGTGTGTCCAGATTACAAATATTTAATTATTTCATAGATAACATAGATGGTTTTTGAGTTTTTAGCTTTTGAAAATGGTCCTTCAGATAGCCTGACTTCTCTTAATTGCAGATTTTGTTCCTGAGAAGTAGAGTGTGGCCTTAAGCTCATATTATGTCTCTACATCTTGTCTCATCACATGTGTTTCTCTACAGAGCAGACCTTCTGTCTGGTCAGCATACAGCATCGTGGATCTTAAACGGGTGAACTATGCTGGGTTTCCAGGTATGTCCGGGGCTTGAGCTTTATTTCATGTTTGCTGCTAGTGTGTGTGTGTGTATGTGTGTGTGTGTAAAGGGGAGGGGGGGATGAGCCTATCCTTCCTGATTGTTTGGAGCACCGAAGAGCATGCTCTTCGCCAGGGCCACCGCCTCTCTTGGGTAGCGAGTGAGGCAGTCCAACCTCCCCAAAGAGATGCAATCGCCGGACCTCCGTAGCGGGGCATCTCTGCTGCCAGGGCTTCTGGTGTTTGAAGTCGATACTGCCGTAGTTGTTGGTGGTGGTACTGGTGCTGCTGCTGGTTGCGGTCTTCTTCTTCTTCTTCTTCTTCTTCTTCTTCTTCTTCTTCTTCTTCTTCTTC